GAATCAGAATTTTAATTAGGAATAATTAAGAATCATATTTCTAGGCATTAATTACAGTTTCTAAGGTAATGAATACTGTACTATATGTGAAATAATATGAAATTGTTTTACAATTGATTTTACAAAATCTTGGCCACAAATTTTCTAAAGTTCATTTGGAAAGTTTTAATTTTGCAACAAAACAGTGGCAGACACTAGAGATGGGAGGCAGGGGGGGGGGAGAATTGTCTCCCTCCCAATAATTTCCGAAAGCCAACAACAATTTTCAATCATGACTAAATCCCCCGCCCACCAATATTTTGCAAAGTGTCCGCCACTGAACAAATTTGGTAACTTGATTGTCAAGTTTGTTGGCAATTACAAACGTGATTATGAATTTTCCAATCATGTTTATGAAGCAAAGTAAACCATCTGATATTGGCTAATTAAGTTATTACTACAAGTAGCTATCTAGAAGCCATGCAATCATGAACTCAATTAAATCTCAGAGAGGACAGGCTTGGTAGGGTGTGGAAATGGGAGTAGATGGCATGTTTAATCCATACATTGCTGGTTCCATTTGACAAGTAAATTCATTTGGCATAAGACAGAGTAAAATAATATGTGCGTCAGGTTGCAATGCCATTCAAAGGGCTAAAATATAGACATGCAAATTAGTGCCAGGATGAAGCCAGTCAATTAAGTTGTTCGCTTCAAATTTTTTGCACAAAAGGAATTTTATGCATGTTCAGTGTCAGGCACATTTTCAGCCTAGACAGAATACATTTATATACCAGAATTACTGGTAGGACTGCAGGTTTGATTCCTGCAAGAGGGCCAAATGAATATAGTTGTATATTTTACATCTGCTCCTGGTTAGAAATGCAATGTTTGTGCAGGTTTCCACTCAAAATTTTCATCTACAAAAACCCTTCGATTATATGAGTATTGAGTATGTGAGACGCCCAAAACTCAGATATTTATTTAACCCATCAAGCACCATGCAGTGCTCTCCCCTTGATAAGTAAAATTGTCTGCCGTTAGCCAGAGTAAAATAATGAAGTTGCACATGGGTGCTAAAGGGCACATTCTTCTCCAGCAAGAATGCTGGATTCTGTGGAAAAACAGTGAGATAATATAAACACTCAATAGAGTTTATATTAATTAGAAGTAGGATCTCGGCAAATGTCCTGCCCAGCTCTTAACCAAGGTCATATACTGTAATAAACAGGGCCCCTATAGAAACAAATATCGTCTTTGATTATCGAACCCAGTGATACATAATCTTTGCAATTTGATCAACATGTAATTTCATGTAATTCAGAACAAATATGACTGTGCATATGAACTTGCTTTATACACTTCTCAGTGTATTCACAACCTCCAAACCGTGAAACTGCTTGAACGATGTAGTAATTCACAAATATAAACTGCACAGTTCTGCTGTTTAAGTTCGCTGCAGGCAGACTTATTAAGTAATAGAAATACAAGCGTGATATAATATTGCTGATTAATCATACCTGGTGTGCTCATTTTCCGGTCAATTCTGTGATAGGGCCTGAACTTCAGGTTAGTCAATTTCAAGAAACCTGATATTCTTTAACTCTTCTTGGAATTCTTGATCTTCTGTGATTAATTTATATTGCCTTGAAGAACTTCCTGTAATAGAGCTTGATACACAAACACCCGTCCCTAGTTCCAGCAAGAAATTAATCGCTTCACAAGAGTCAGACAACTCAAACTGTACGTAAACAAAGCTGACTTTAGCAAGCGTATTTACATATATTATAAACGCAAGACAAGTCTGACAATGAACACAAAGCATTTGATAAATATCTTTTGGGTTTTGTGATCCACTGTCGGCCATACACGTGTCTTTTCTAAACTGTATATATAGACATAATTAGCTACTTCCTCGAATTAATTTTAACAAATTAGTGGAATTACCCTAGCTAAATTACCCCATACTTTAAATTTCCAGGTTTTCAGCTGCAAAGAGTCAATCCTGACTAATTTATTAGCATCAAACTTTAAACTTTCATGTTTATATATTTGAAATTTTGATCAAAATACATCTGTCGTTCACATCCAGGTGATCTCGTGTTCGTATTTTAGCCAATCAGCGCTCAGAAAGGGTTGTCCGAATAGAAATCCATTTTGATGTATTCAGTCAATTATATCTTTCGTTATTCTTTATGAAACTAGTTGAAATTATGTTTGGTTATGAGAACTATAGCTCTGACAAAAATATGGAATCGAAATAAAGTATATTACAGGAGATATTCAGTTGTTTCAATCATAAAATGGATTTCTATTTGACAACTAGTGCCAGTACTTTTCCGCGTACCAAAATCATCTGGATGTTTGATGAATAATGACAATGTTTACATCAATTTACATGACGTTCTAACCGTTTGGAAACTGAGGATGATTTCAGCGAAAGTGGTATAGCAACGAAGCCTAAAGCGCGAGGTCTTCAAATTAGATATTCTACAAAACGTTGCTACAGATATTTGTCCGTATTTTTTTTACTGATAACTGAAAAAAATGTTTCAACTGAAACCTAACAAACGATAGGATGAAACAACAATTTGAAACTGATGTCACTGATATCTTACTAAAATATTACCTTTTGAATTTTAGCTAAGCCTGGACACAGAATTTTCAGGCACATATACATAATTGTCATACTGATTTTTTTAATCGAAAGCCTATTTACACAACTACCTGACCGTACTGGTCCGTACAGACTATTTGTTTTCGATGCATTTCGTTTCGCTCATCAATGAGATTAAGGTTAGAAAACGACGCTGCATGGAGCGATGACCGTTGCTGCTATAAGTGTCGCCACTTCTGAATGCGTTTGATGACCATCATTTGTCCTACACTACAGTGAAATTTAGCCATGATGGCCAACCACCAACGAGGTATATTGTCTTCCAGTAGTCCATTGCAGCCCAAGAAGAAACGATTTCTTCGTTCAGCACTTCATGAGATTTCTTGTAGCCTTGTTGAATATTCCAACCTTGCTAAGCGATGATGTTCCTAGTAAAACGAGAAGTATTCACTGCATCAATTTACCATATCAAGACTTCAATTCACAACGCCTCGCTTTACTTTGTCTAGTGTTCTCTAATTTTATCCGCTTTACTTTACCTGACTGTAGCTTATTTTCAATTAACGGATCTTTTAACTAAATCAGTATATTTCACATCAACTTACTTCATCTTTTCGTCAATTCGCCACACTATACACGTTACTTCATTCACTTCGAGCAGTTTCTATACTTACTTTTTCGTCATCATTCAAACGGTGTTTATCTTCGCGTAATAAGTCTCGTAGTTTGACTAAACTTTGTATTCCTTCTTCTCTAGTCGTACGAGCCTTTTAAACAAAACAAAATAAAGTACAGTACAGTACTGGTTGGTTTCAATAAGAGCAGCGGCTAGATGGTAGTAAAAAATGTTGATATTGATAGCAGACTGGAGATTTACACTAGCTATAATCCATTTAATTGCCACCAAACACAAGACGTCAATATATACATGTTGGATGATATTGTTTATAGTCAAATAATAAAAGCTATCTATTCAAAACGACAAAAGGTAAGAAAAATATACTGTACTTGTTAGTTACATTACATGTACGGTAAAATATTTCCTTTTGTACATACCTTTTGCAACGCTGCCTGTTCGCGAGTAAGAGCTTGTTTCAGAGACGTTTCTCTTGTTTTACATTCCAGTTCGAAATCCTAAAATCAAAGCAGTATAATTTCACCTCAGCCGCATTTCGTAGTAATACTGGACCTCTAGGAAGAACAGTTTGGAACCACACTGATAGAGCTATCCAGTATAAATAAACTATTTAAGTTAGTTTAGTTTAAGTTTCCTCCTGTAATAACACTGACTGAATAAGTGGACTGATATTGGTACCCAGTATAAATAAAGTTAGTTTAGTTTAGGTTTCCTCCTGTAATAATACTGGATCAATAAGAGATGATCCTTACTGGACCTCTAGGAAGAACAGTTTAGAACTGATATGGCTATCCAGTATAAATAAAGTTAGTTTAGTTTAGGTTTCCTCCTGTAGTAACACTGGATCAATAAGAGATGATTCTTACTGGACCTCTAGGAAGAACAGTTTAGAACTGATATAGCTATCCAGTATAAATAAAGTTAGTTTAGTTTAGGTTTCCTCCTGTAGTAACACTGGATCAATAAGAGATGATTCTTACTGGACCTCTAGGAAGAACAGTTTAGAACTGATATAGCTATCCAGTATAAATAAAGTTAGTTTAGTTTAGGTTTCCTCCTGTAGTAACACTGGATCAATAAGAGATGATCCTTAGTGAGCCTCGAAGGATCGGAGAACAGTTTAAAACTGATAAAGCTATTTCTTCGCTTAGCTTTCATAACGCTCGAATATCTTCAATAGTATACCTTCAATAGCTTGGCGTTTTCTCTCTGTATAGCGCCAAGATCGTCCTGAAGCCGCTGACAATATTGTTCCTGTTTTCTATAACTGGCTTCCGATGATCGCACTTGATTATACAGCGCATGCTCCATCTCTTCTTGCTTCGACACACTTTTCTGAAGTGAGAAAAAGAATGTAGAGTCTGAGCAAACGTTGTCGCAGAAACATCCGAAAATTCCTCAAGGTTCCCTGTTCTGCGCATTATTTAGGAAGCAAGACTAGGAGATAATGTTTCAGTATAACAATTTTCACACCACAACATACATTGTTATATTTTTGTACACTTATTTTTGTACATTTGTTCAATCACCTGTAAATGTCTAATGGCGTCGCTATACGACAGTTTCCGAGTATCTGTGTCCGTGTCCACGCAACGATCTTGCGTTCGCGTCATTCGTGCTCGATTACGATTCTTCCGATCTTTTGACATTTGTTCCAGCAATGTCGTTCTCTTCGCTTCAGCCATCTAAAAGGAACACATTCTATGCATCACGAAAAGCTTCCACTTAATTTTTACATAAAGACAATTTTCACTCAATCCAGATTAACGACTTCCATTTCCATGCTCAGTTGCACCCCCCCCCCCCCCCAATGTTGGTCAGTATCTTACTTTTTGTTTTAGATCAATATGTTTCCCTTGTTCCTGGCGGTCTAAAAAGTCGGCATCAATCTGAGTATTCTTCTGAGCTGTCGAATTGTTTTGTAAAGAGCGACTAATATCTGTCATTTTTCTGCCCTCTAAAGAAAATATTAAGGATCAAAATAATGGCATGCGAGAGGAGAGTGCTTCAGAGAAGAGAAAGTTTGGTTTGATATATTATATTGAAGGCAAAATTCTACCTTCTCTTATTTTCAACGACATTTTGTCGTTTGTTTCATCCATGTCCTGACTTAGTCTTCTTTTGCTTCCAACAAATCTCCTCTCGTGATATCGACCTAGGCTGAATATAGCATGGAGTTTTATGTATGATTATATAATTTCACCGTAGTCTTAATATGCAAAAAGAGTGCTTGACTCTGCCAAGGGAGCTTAAGAGAACAGTTTAGAACTGATCGATATAGCTGTCCAGTTTAAATATATTTGAGTTTGTTTAAATATATTTGGTCAGTTAGGTTGGTTAACAAGGACAGAGCTTATCAACAGGTGTGGTGTACCAAGCAACAACTTACTTTAATTTACTCTCTAATGATTTTCGTCTTTGTAATGCTTCCTAAAAGTACCATAAAATAAATTGAGCAACCCAACGTTATTACGCATGTGCAGTAATACAGCACAACACAGCATAACACACCACAACACAACACAATTACACAACACAACACAACACAACACAACACAACACAACACAACAAAATGCAAACACGATTACTACATAAATATTCTTGCTTTTCCGTTAATTTATACCTGGCTTTCTATTACTTTCGAATCTTTTTTCATCCTGTCAATAAAGGGAGAAACAATTAAAACATGTTAGACAGGTTTTCGCTCGCCACTCTGATTTATAAGCGAATTAATTTTAGGAATGAATAAATAAGAAACCGAAATAATTTGATTCAAATATTTCTCAACATTCAGAGATTATACAATGGTATAAGTTTATATTTATATTCCCAACAAAACTGCCTATCTTCAGGCGTTTTATTAGTGTTGTTGTTGTTGTTTTACAACAAACATGAGAATAATTTGAACTAACGTTTCATAATTTATTTCCATTGCTTTTTGCTTGTGGTCTTCCATCGTTGTGGCTATAGCCAGTTCCGCCAACCTCTTTGTCAGATTATATTCTTCCAACTAGATTTTTCAAATGAATAAATAATTAATAAAAAAAAACCCAAAATAAAGCCCGGTACAAAACGTGCTGGTCTGTACGGGACTTAAATGATCCATCTTCGAGACCAATCGCGACAAATGAAACACTTGACCTCTTTTAATCTTATTCTTTGTTCGTATTCCTTCGTTAAGTTGACAACTTCGTTTCGTTTCAATTTTAGCTCATCAGCAGTCTTTTCGTATTGATATTCCAAGTCGTTTCTATAATAGTAAAGGGAATGGTTTGTATGGAATAGATTTATGTAATTATTAATAAATTTATGTAATTAAAAAACTAATTTAAACACCAAACAATTTGTTAGGTGAATATAATTTAACAGATTTAAAAATCTTTTAATTCTCATTATTATAAAGATTGGCTTAAAAATTGGCTCATTGAATTCAAAATGACACCCCTAACAGTTTATAACTATAATAGAGCTATATCCAGTATAAATATAGTTAAACATTTAGTTGTATTATATAATATTTTAATAAAATTTTTAAACGGTATCGTCGTTGCCGTTGGGGCGTGTACCAACTTACTTCATTAGCAAATCTTTTCTTGTTAGTTGCCTGTTGTCTAACAGATTCGGACAAACTTTTCTTCCTTCGTGACTTTGAATCCTATTCAATCAAAACATAAAATATAAACACTAAATTCATTTGGTATGAAATAATCCACAATGATAATGCCACAGGAAGATTTTGGAGACTCAAAAGACGGTCACAAAACTATTAAAATTACAAAAAAACACATTTAAATTACCAAAAGTTCTTTGTGAAGATGATGATGCTTGGCCTCTTCAATTTCCTTGATGCTTCCTTGCAATTTCATCTCCTCGACTTTTTTCTTGCCAAAAGTATCTAAGAAAAACATTTAACTTGTTAAGGCGAGGCTCTTCCCATGCGCCGAATAATTAATAATTCATGAAGAAAAGACAAAGGAATTAATCACTGCCGTCTCGTTGGTTTTTTAAACGTAAATTTTGAACCTAAATTTTCAACCTAAACTTTCAACGCCCCCCCCCCCAGTAAATCCACCCCTGGTCTAGTCTATATCTGTAATACATTTTAAAATTAGTCTATAATGAGAATCAGTCTGGCAGCAACAACAAGACTTACAACCATGATTTTTCTGTGTTGGTGTAATGTACTCAGGTGAATATGATGCTTGTGATGTTACTCTAGTCTGAGTGTATAACCACACCGGGCAAGCTTGAAAAATATGCCTGACCACGGTGGAAAAATATGCCTGAAATATGCTTGAAAAATATGCCTGACCGCGTAGCTCAGTTGGCAGAGCATTGGGCTAGTATTCCAAAGGTCGTCGGTTCGATTCCCACCGTGGTCAGGCATGTTTTTCAAGCTTGCCCGGTGTGGATATACACTCAGAGTAACATCACAAGCATCAAGACTTACAACTATAATTTTATAAAAAAAATTAACTCACCATTGTCATAATCTTGCATAACTCGTCGTAACAGTCGCTGTTTTTTTACAATGTCTCCCTCTATTCGTTTCAGTTTCCGCTCTTCTTGTTTATGGTGGAGCATGTTATCCTACGAAAATATCATTAAGACATTATGGATAAATTAGCATTGCCATCTGACCATTTACGAATAAAAATGACAATCGATTTACTGTTTATGATACATCTTTAGAACATCCCAATTTGAGGTGCCAATCAAAATGACACCAAAACATAAATGACACAGCATGAACAAAATTGATGTTGTGTTTATGCATTATACTGTAGTTAATAGAATAAGAACGGGCCCCAAGGTTAGGGGACTCGATGCAGACAAAATAGTCCTCGATCATTATCTATGTTTTTGTGTTGGTTTTATGGTTTATGTAATAAATGTTCGGTTCATTCATCGTCACGTGCGTATTGTATTTTCGCTATTAAACAACCAATAGAAAAGTTTTCATTTAACCATTATGTAATACACACGTTAAAACGCACAAGTTTGTAACAAGTCTGTTCACAAGCTGTTAACAAGATGTATTCGCACTGCTTGTCATAAGTTGTCAACAGGTTTGGAACAACTTGTTGACAACTTGTAACAATCTTGTCGAAATTATCAGACTTGTTGCAAGGTTGTTCTGACAAGTTTGTGACATGCTTGATATAACAAGATTGTTACAACCTTATGTTGACAACCTTGTAGCATCCTTGTTATATCATGACTGTAACAAACTTGTTAGCACAATCTTGTAACAAGGCTGATAATGCCATCAAGCTTGTTACAAGTTGTTAACAGCTTGTTTCAAACTTGTTACAACAAACTGGGAACAAGCAGTGCGAGCACAACTTGTTGACAGCTTGTGGACAGACGTGTAACAACTTGTTTGCAGACTTGTTACAACTTGTGCGTTTTTACGTGTGTAGATAATGATCGGTCTATAATGTCTGCATCGAGTTCGCTTAAGTAACCTTCTATGGTTTATGTAAAAAATAAACTTTAGTATAACGTATTTGCAACATGAGCTCCACCTTTGAATTTACTATACGAGTAAATTTTTAAACACGTCCAAATTTATCATTATGATAAATTCGCGGCACATTTTGAATTTATCATAATAATAAATTCGCAACATCTAACACTAACACTAACCCTAACCCCATCCCCATCCCTACCCACTAACCCCTAACCCTAACTTTTTTAACTTTTTTGAAAGTCTAACTAGTAAACTTTTTTTGCTTGAAAATCTCCACACCCCCGCGCGACCAGCCTCCCTTTTAGTGCCATTATATTTATAACAAGAAGTCTTGTCTAATGCTTTTGGTTTTATGATTAACTCTATTGATAAATTCAAAATGTGCCGCGAATTTATCATAATGATAAATTCGGACGTGTTTAAGAATTTACTCATATAGTAAATTCAAAGGTGGAGCTCATGTTGCGTATTTGAGAAAGACGTCAAAGAAATGATACGCCCGCACCAGTTCAATCAAATCACTCAAATCTCAAATGAATTAACATAAACTGAGTAAATTCCAATACATATTAATAAAATCAGGTGGCATCCAAACCTGGATAATTTTCATCTTTTTCTCCAATTCTTTCCTGTTTGTGACAGCAATTTGCGTCACCGCCTGGACGCCATTCCCCCTCGGTAAAGGCGTAACATCTTCCTTTATTTTACTGGAACTTTTTCCTCCTAGCCCGGTATCAACTTTCGCCTTTACTGACCTGAAAATAGTCGAGGAATAAAGCTCTCATGAACGGGTCTTTGTTTACCAAAACCTCGTTCTAATAACATGGAAAATAGTTTCATGTACAACGGAGCTAAACTTTGGAATTCTATTCCAAAAGATATTAGGGAAAGCAAATCACTTTCTTCCTTTCGAAATAAAATCGCTGCTCACATTTATGAATAATACGTATTGTAAATAATGTGCCTGTAAATAGTCTGCCAACTTTCTCATTAGACATTAATATGTCACTATTTTAATACTCACTAATATGTTACTGTTTTAATAGTCTATATCGCTTAAAACTCTTGTAAATAGCTCTATCACTTTCCTGTACATGTAAAAACCTTATTCAATTTTTTGGCACACGCCCCTCGTGGAAATCAGCTTCGGTTGACGAGGTCAGCGTGTATAAATAAAAAATTCTATCTATCTATTCCATCTATATTCGAAGAGGAATATTTCCTTACTTACTTTAGGGGTATTTCACGTTGTCCACTCGTTTCCTTGTCTGCAAGCTGTGGACCGCTGCTTGACATATTCCTTAATGTTTGAGAAATATCAGTTTTTTTGGCCCGTTTTACGTCGAATTTCGAAATTCAAACAATAGATAATGAAGCTTAATGAGGTTTATCATCTCATTAATCATTATCTATTGTCCAGGCTGCGATCATTCAAGATTTCTAGTCGTACCTGACTGGTACGCCAATGGTTGTTGCCGCGTACTTGCGCTAGAACAAACTCAGTACTCAATACTCAATGTGTACTTAGTCTTTAAAATAAAGTTCATAAAGTACAGGTTTCTGAAAAGTATATTCAGACTACGAGGTAGCAAACGGAGTTTTGCTATTTGAAAAGAGAGTTTTGCTATTTGAAAAGGGAGTTTTGCTATTTGAAAAAGGAGTTTTGCTATTTGAAAAGAGAGTTTTGCTATTTGAAAAGGGAGTTTTGCTATTTGAAAAGGGATTTTTGCTATTTGAAAAGGGTGTTTTGCTATTTGAAAAGGGAGTTTTGCTATTTGAAAAGGGAGTTTTGCTATTTGAAAAGGGAGTTTTGCTATTTGAAAAGGGTGTTTTCCTATATATTTTGAAAAGGGTGTTTTGCTATTTGAAAAGGGTGTTTTGCTATTTGAAAAGGGTGTTTTGCTATTTGAAAAGGGTGTTTTGCTATTTAAAGACGGAGTTTTGCTATATTTCAAACAACCGACTCCAGCGTTTCTTAGTGCCATCAGTGCAATCATGTTTCATGCCAAGACATCTCAGACACATGATATACCAACTAAATTACGGTATTGAATAGCTTGGACTTGGAAAGGTCATGTGCTACCAGCAAAAAATAAGTACGCAGATAGCAAGAGTTCCGCGTACCTACGTGGTACGTGGCTGAAAACAAAGAAGTACCAGACAGTAGTATTGGCTACCTCCGGTACGTAAGTACGCGAATTATCGCACCCTGATTGTCTTAATTGCATTCGACGCGACCAAAATTCGACATATAAAACAGGCCTTAATTCTCATCAAGATCAGAAGCGTTTTTCTCAAAAATCTTTTTGGCGTTTTACTTTTAGCTTTAGTTTGCAGTTTACAAAGTTAGCAACCTTTTTATTTATGTATCTAGCGGTTGAGAAACGCAAAATAATAAAGTTAAATGTTGACAATTTAAATAAAATTATCATTGATGCTGTAAATTGACACCATATTTATACTGTAATCCAAGCATTACTGAACAAGTTGGGTAAATATGGTGGAATATCGGGAGATTGTAACATAACTTTTTCCCCAGGACATGGGTAATTTTCAAACATTTAAAAAACTACATGCCCCAGGGGTCAGGAAATTGTAACCATTTGAGCTGCTAAATACTGCTGGCCACTGGATTTTTGGGCTCGCCACAGTTTACTACTTTGGCTACTAAACTTTACTGTAAATTAAATCATCCCCGCAAGCATGTAAACATGCCTTATAAACATGAACAAAATTAGTTTGCAAAATTAAATCACAAGAAGTAGGAGATTAAGGCATGCCTGGCAGGGTTCCAGGGAATTTTCCACCTGTCCCGGGAAAAGACGATGATAGGTGATTTACTGAACTTCAGACATTGTTTTCTCTTTGCCGTACCATCTAACTTCACACTAGTATTTTAAAGATAAATGTGAAAAGAATTCTTCAACTGTTTGACTTTTCGACTAAGTATATTCTAGTTTCTCGCTGTAGTAAAAATGGGCCACTATACATTAAGCTGTGATGAAGGTAGTTATAATTAAACACGAACTACATTAAATGAAAACAGTTATTTTGATAGAAAGTAACAGAACTGATTATTATAGAGATAATTCAGTTTAAAACTAAAACCTGATTTATGCAAGAGACTGATGATGTCATAATGAGTCTGGAGGAACTAGTTTCAGCAAAGAATAAATACTAGCCAGATAGATCACAAATTGACAGGTCATAGTCTATACAATATACATTTAATTTAATACAAATTAATTACCATAAAATAGCTTATTTAGTCAGGCAAAATTGTGTGCATAGTTTGTCTTGACAGGATTGACATCGATCATCACCTGTTTATGTGCCAGTGTGGAAAGTTTGTATCGCGCGGCTGATATTGATCAGATATATCTTGATGTTTCCTATATATCGCGTGGCCGATACCTCGGATGTATCTTGATGCTCTCGATATATCGCATGGCTGATATCTCGGATATATCTTAGTTGATGCTTCTATATATTTACGATTTAAAATTTTTTAAATCTCAGCCGTGCAATTTCCAAACTTTCCAGTCAGGTTTATGTGTATATTAAATAATAAATACGGCATTATAACAACTTTTTGCTGTGTACTGGACAAATTAAAGGCCAAATGAATTCACACCGCACAACTTTTGCCTGAAACTCAGTCTCAGTACCTGCTTACAACTTGATCAGTATTAATTGTACGGTGTAAATCAAGCACAACTCACTTACAATTAACAATGTAGGTGAATTGACAGTGCTTGGTTTAAGTTACACGTACAGCACACTCAAGTTGTAAGCCAGTTGCATGCGACAGTTCCAGACAAAAGTTGTGTACTATAAATCGGCTTTGACAAATTATCGACTGATGCCGAGTAATTTAATCACCATTGACCAAGATTGCAGAGTTTGACCAAAGTATAAATTGGGACACAAAATACAAGGTGTTATTTCGAATCTGTTTCAAAATTATTGTCAAATATAACTATTTATAATATAATCTATTACTATCTAGCAAAATATGAAAATATCTAATTCTAAATAGGCTTTTATTTGACATATTTGCCACTGTCACTGACCTTAAGAAATTGACATAGTCTTCAGCGTTCGGATCGGCAACTTTAGATGAAGGCGAATAAAACTCGTATCTTTTATGCAAGACGGGTTGTCTTTCGAATGGCAAAACCATTTTATTAAATGCGACAAAAAATAAGACTTTATTACTTTATATTCGTGTAGTATTATAAAATGTTGCAATTATTGTAGTTCCAATTCAGGTTGTTATAGTAACCTGAATGTTGTTTCCCCCGGTAAAAATAATGTGTAATACATCACCCCCCGGTTAAAGGCAAAATATGATGTTTCCACATTGTAAGGATGAATTTCCAATTTCAGCTCAAATCCACTGTACTATATAATAGTACTGGAATAACCTCGTAAATAGTATGCACTAAAAGCAATAGATAATCAGTTGAGAAGCCTCATTATCTGTGTTTTCAATGCGTTCGGCGCATGAGAAGCACGACGTTTGAAACGAGACTAACAGTGCGAACACAGTTTGGTAGTTTGTTCCCCTGAGAACTCTGTAGAACGAAGGCAAATCTAGCAAATGCTAGAAATTTAGCAAATCTAGCTAGAAATCTAGCAAAATAAAAGTTTGATGAGTGTTCCAACTATGTTTCAACTTCAATAGAATACATGATAGTGTTGGGAAAGCATTAAGAAACAGCTAACGAAGATCGCGTGCCAACTCGGCTCATGCGCGTCAGTTTTATTTGCATTGAAATAACTGCGCTCAGCCGCCTTGCTCGCGCTTACCAGTCAAAACGTTCCCAGGTCAAAACGTCCCTCAAAATGTCCTCATGTCAAAATATCCCAACTAAAGTCAAATCTATTGGCTAAATATCAGATATTCTGTCAATTTTAAAGTAATTTTAAACTATCTTCACATATAATATTTTTGTTTTCTTCTGATCTGATCAAGGAACTAGATCAACCACTGTACTATTAAATTCTTTGCGAATAAATTCATTGCCAAATAAACAATTAATTCAGAGTTACATACTCTAAACCCATGTGTCGCATAATTTGGAAAGCTTGTGTTGTAACCCTGTGAACATGTTTATTCTTTTATAATTTAGTTGCAGTTCAATTTATTTGAACACAAGAGTTAGGGTTTTTTGGCCTGGGGACGTTTTGACCTGGGCCTGGGGATGTTTTGTCCGGATACCTTGCTCCCGTTCTTTACGTGTTAAAGATTCTTCAAACGAAAATTACTAATATTTATTTATTTATTTATTAACATGATAATCATTGTGTCCATTGTATTTATAGAACTAATAAATTTACAATTAATATATAATGACTAATTCCCGAGTTTGCGGTGACAAAATTAACTCTCAGACAAGTTTAACCTCTACAAAAGGTTCAAAGGAATCCTCGATCGCCTCTTAGACTCTGTCGCGAGGGCAGTTCGCCTTTCTGGGCTTCACAGAGTAGTAATTACAACATTTTGAAACTCTGGTATTATAGTAGAAGTAACCACAGCACGCATGGTTGGATTTCTTATCGTGAATTTTACCACAGCAACAGATTTGAGAAGCAGGATTGTAGATTTGGTTGCCACAATCTGGAAAAGAGCATTGAAGTATTTATCACAATATTAGTACGAGCAATATGAGTCATTCTCTTTTGCCAAAAAAGGTGCCTTTAAGTCAGTTTTAAGTCAGTTTTCCACCAAGTGCGAATTGGTTCGCAAACCATAATCATGGGTAAGATTTTTTTGCTAACCCGTCACATTACCTAAATTTTTTTGTTTCGCTTCAACGAACATGGTCGTCAACCGGACACCCGGGTACACAGGAATATATTCCGATGGATCCGCATCCGCTTTCAATAGAACGATTTACACCGTTCAGTATGACGAGTTTTCGATTTCAGAGTCGAATTCGAGCTATAAAAATACTATACTCATGTATAGTATTTCTATTTATGGCCATAGTTCAAATTAGTTGGTATGCCTATCTTATGTTCTCAGTTTAATTCCCAAGGTGGCACCATCAAATTTCGGTATACAAAGACTTTTAAACTAAAGAAATATTGTATCTTTGAAAGATTGTTTGTACTGCTGTAATAACGTACTTCTTTGATAGAAGAATTTCCGGAAAGTACAAAGAAGCCTTTAGCGGGCTTCTTGAATCTAATTTTCGGCCTTAATTTTTGCGGGACCACGCTGGTTCGTTCGTGCAACTTTTGAAAGCATATTGTGTTGATACTTACAGTAGTATGGACAATAGGCGAAGTGATATCCACAATTCCATACACCTCCTTCTTTGCAGGTACTGAAATAAATTAAGAAGAAACGGTGTCTGAGAAAAATATACATGGCATAATTCATTAAATCTATTGGTGGCTCAGTTTGCTAGTACAACACGTTAAAACTCGGGGCATTTGTTAAGAAATTATAACTACCAGGGTAAATTGTTAATGCATGCAGGCCTCTTCCTTGTGCATGCAATAAGCGTACAAAAAGACAATTATGTGACGACTTTTATAATGACGAGAATGTGAAAGAATATGAGAAAGAAGTTCTTGCTATTAATGGCAAAAAAAGCCCAGTCCATATGAAAACGAGTTCACTGCATGCTGGGCCTGCAAAATGCCTACACTAGTAAATGTTCCAGTAATCTCGAAGTGGTCACATAGGTTAAAATATGCCATATTAAAACTTAAGAAAGACTTCAGAGATCCCACGGGGATAAAACCATCACGAAAGCTAACTCAATGTTCTTAGTATATACCAAGGTCTTTGTCACATCCCTCCTGCCCTTTCTGAAACGATTATATTGGCTATTATCGCCCATGCTGATCAAGCACTCGACCGATACCCCTGATTAATTACTCACCATCTCATACAGTTACAGCGTATCTGGAAACCAGGTTTGTACCACACAGCAATTCCCCAATGACAGACTGAAATATAGAATAAACAGAAAAATAAGATATAGAAACTAATTATATATAAACACTCGTTTATACCATATAAGTTGAAAGTTAAGCTTAGGAAACTGCAGGGAAATTTAACAGAACTTATTATCAATGTCGGTTTGTAGTTATATGAAGTTATATGCCAAAATACAGTCGTCTCATTTTACGAAAAGGGAAAGGTATTGTCTATTGATATCAAGTATTGTTTTCAATGATTGTTGATAATGATTGACTGTTTGTATTTGATCAAAATTCTTTGTTTTTTAACTTACATCCTTTGTGCTCATCGGCATCCATATCACCACTATCTTGTTGAACTAAGGCGCTCGTTTCACTTCCCGTATCTTCAATGACTGTTTTCTTCGCTTTAGCTGGCTTTTCATCTGAATACGTCTCATCATTTGACGAGGCATAATCTTCCATCTGGGTGTCATATTCTTCTGTGAGAAAAGAACATTGATTGGTATTTTGAAACTAAACTATAACCTCATTTAAACTGGATAACTCTATCGTTTTTAAACTGTTAGCATAGAGGTGCAGTAAGGAAACATTCCTCATTGATCCAATGTTATACTGCAGAAGGAAACTAACTTATTGCAAATCATACCAAAAAATACCATAATTATACACTAACCTCTTACAGCGAAGCTTACTGCCAAGAAAAGACAGAGAACTGCGATTATTTTCGAAGTCATCTTCAGTTAAAATTCACTTCAGTAACTTCTTCTGAGACTGGTTATTTTGTGAATGGCAAAATTCGAATAATACCTTTTTCGATTTTCAAGCCCGCTTTATGCCGTCACTTCATGGACAGGAAGAAACTACTCTTTAAAGAAAAGGTTTTTAACTCGTTAGTGAAAGAAGTAGCCTCCAGTCTAAGGTATTTTGTAAGTTCCTCAAGATACTTTGTTTACTCATGAAAGGCATTTTACATTTTCTGGTGTTCGTGCGCAATTTTTGAGATGAAATTTCAAAACATCCGAATTTGCACACCGACAAAACGTCGTAACGACAACGCTTCAAAAAAGCTTTTGTCACAGACTACAATAACTTCAGATATATCTATATGCAGAATGTATTTGTAGTTGAGACTATAAAGGGAATTGAAAAACGCAAAGATCTTTGGATATTTTGATCCAAAACAACTCTGAATTCTATAACCATGACAGAAGTCTATAAAACAAAAGTATTTGGGTTCTGTGAGTGTCAGTTGTGGTATGGAGTCAGGCCTTATAGTCAATCAGTATTCATACAGTACATACGACATTAAGGTACACCCCCGCCCCCCGATTCCGCCAATTTTACTGCAGAGTCCAGTTGCTGCATGAGCATAAACGACAGATTGGTGAATGTGTAGAATGGTTGATGCCGGTAATGGAGTCATGCTCTTTTACGAGTCTTAATTGGATTATTTTATTATGCAGTCCTTTGTTGGAAAATTGATAATCTAAATATTTTGATACTCTACAGCTCAGTCAATGACTATTTGATTTTTAAGAAGGAAAATTGCTTAAAATACCTTGTAATTGACTTGGAACTTATCTTTAAATTATAATTTGTGCGACTAATTTGGAATTAGAATTAATTGCATGTCATAATAGTCATAATTATAGCTATAGATTTCTATAGCATGTAACTTCTATATGGTTTTTTCTTGAAATCTACAATATACAATGGAAAATAATTAATAAGTATAAAATTAAAATATGTCGGGATGACATGCTTTTCTCCAAGCAGCATGCAAACTTGAACATTTTGATAACAAAAGGCTTAGTTTTTAAACTACTTGTTATATGGTACCTAATTCGTAAAACAGAGCATTTTTATTCGATCTTCATTGCACTTAATTTAAAAAACGTTTATGTATTATTAAAAAGTCTTTAACCGCAGTATATAACAGTGACATCAGTTTTAACTAACAGTTGATAAAGACTTTTATTCGGCAAAAATATAGATTAACAGATCAAAATAAAACTATAAAGTGTTCTTAATTTAATTTCTAAATGTAACTTATATACTAGCTGCAGCATTTTTTTATATTGAATTTGCGTCTCAACTTATTTCGCTTATACTAATTGTAAGGACAATAATTAGTCTATTTAGCTATACACAAGCAAACAAATACAATTTCTTGACTTCATTGTTCAAATTAAGATTGCCTCAACAATTCTAAAAGTATTTTTTCATTACATGCATATAGTGTTCCATATATACACGCATCCTCTTGACTTAATTAATCAAAGAGCATTATATACTTTGTAAAACAAAAAAGACTTGTCAAAGGACAAAAATTTTCCATATCATTTTTCAGATATATGAATCTTGGTTATGTGGTGTTCGTCGTTTGGCGTAAGAAATACAACGTCTGCGAGCAGGGTAATGTGCATGGTGTTAATAATTATTAATTAATAACACTTAATAACCCATTTCGCTGTATATTTCTCTAACACCAAGCGATTTTAGTTATCATTAGAGGCGCATATGGCACAATGGGTCGACTAAAACATGTTTTGTAATTTGAATTGCTACAGTTACTTAAAAAACGTGGTCATGCATGCAGCCAGAACTATAGCCAGTATTACATGCAGACCCTTCGGCATATTATATAGCTGCTATGTCGCATTTGTAATTTACAAAGCAATTGTTCATGGCTACTGTCTGAAAAAACAACTACTTGCTACTTCAAAATTGTATTTAGCTACAGTACCTATACTAGCCGAACTACTTATTTAAACTAGTAACTTGGATAAATGTCCTTCCCTCTTTAAAACCGGGCCTGCAGGCTTTGCCCATGATCATACATGTCTCCAATTTTCTAACTACATGATAATCATGAAATCGATGATTCATCTATCCTTTAAAACAAAGGATTTCTTATTTTGTTTCTTGGACAACCTTCAAAAATTTAAAAAGTTTTATACAAAAAATATTGACCCTGACTGGCACAGCCTACACCTTATATATGCATGAATTCAAAGTCCTTTAGTCTTGCAAATCACAACTGCAGTGTACTATATGCAAAAGCCAATATTAACATCGGATCAGACATCTAAAACTTATTCTAAGAGTGTCTTTGTGCAAAAACGCTTAATACTAGTCAGAAAGGTTTTTGTCTCTTAGAGACAAAAGATTTTAGTACAAGTTCATTTTCAAGTGGTAGCCCGTTTGTATAAAAGGACGCAAGATGCGCCTTCGAAAGTATCACTCTTGCAGCAGTTGAACAGAGCAAAGTTGTCAGTTGAGGAAAAGCAGCGAAGAAAAAAATTATGTCTTTAAAAATTGTTGTTTTAATGTTGGTCGCTGGCCTCGCACTGGCTAAAGTTGGTAAGTACCTCTTGGGAGTGATAGAATTATCCACGGCTTACTAGACCAGCTCTTGGAAGAACATGTTTATAGAATTAATAAAGCTATCCAGTATTTATAGTTATAGTTTAGTTTAGATTTCCTTCTGTAATAACACTGAATCAATAAGAGATGATCCTTACTGGACCTCTGGAACGAACGTTTAGAACTGATAGAGTTATCCAGTATCGAAATAAAGTTAGTTTAGTTTAGGTTTCCTCCTGTAGTAACACTGGATCAATAAGAGATGATCCTTATTGGACCTCTCGGACAAACAGTTCAGAAATGATAGAGCTGTCCAGTATAAAAAATTATTGAAAGTTAGTAATTAGTTTAGATTTCCTCGTGTAATAACACTGCATAGATCAATGGATGTTCCTTATACTTGACCCCTATTAATACTGGAAGAGGCGCTTATATTCTTTCTTTCTTTACTTCGTTCTTATATAGATGAATTCGGCAACGACTATGAAACGCCTGAGAAAAAAGAAACCTCAAATGATGCGGAAGAACCGAAGATGATCATGGAAGACATGAACAGTGAAACGTCGACAGCTCTTGTACAAAACGACGCCAATGACCCTGATTCAATCAAGAATAAAGGACGTACGTTTGTTCAGCTTTTTTGTCATACATTTCAGTCCCGGAACTATAGGATTTGAGATTTACCGCGCGAGTTGTGCGCCAATTAGATACTGCCTATAAGAAAATTCTTCATTTTCTAAGGCTTATAGAAACGCTATTTTCTGCATTCTTGAAACAGTTAACGTTAGAACAAAAAGTCGATGATAAACAGCGATAAAATGACTCTTTCTATATTCATAGTCTATCTACAATTACAAATATTCATGGTCCGATATGATCAGGTCATCAGGTGTATAATAAGAAAGTGTTTGTGGTAATATTTGGGACGCTAATTCCAACACGTTTCTTTCCTTGAACAAGAAGTTTTTCTGTTTCAAATTTTTTCACGAAAATTCGTGAATTAAATCGGTTGATTTTGCACGAAAATTCTTGATGACTCATGGATTAACTCGGTTGACTCATAGTTACGAATAATTTGCCTTGAATTTACAGATCGAAAATATAGCTGAAAATATAAGCGTAAAATGTGGGTTTAAGATGTATTTTAATGAACAGCAATGTAGTATTTTACTGACATGTTTTTCTGTTTCCAAATACTTCTATAGTTTGTCATTGGGGCATCGCTGTTTGGTACAAGCCCGGATTCGCTATTCGCTGTGGTTGTATGAAATGGTGAGTACATCTAAACTCTTCATTGCCGACGTACAATGCGCGCAAGCACACGCGCTAAGACCATTTTCATTTTATACGTTCACGTTTCGCTCAGGTAAAGGCGACCACCAATAGGCACCCACAGGGGCGTTGCCAGCCCCAATGTAAGGGGGGGGGCATTTTAGACAATGTTTTGTGATAATCTGAAAACCGCAGATTTTGTATATTTTATGTCGTAATGAAAGCATTACGAATTTACGCCCCCACCGCCTAACCCCAGTTTCTCCACAGGTTTGGAAAAATTACAAAATTGGTCCCGACGAAAAGTGTGTAGGGGGGGGGATCACTCAACTTACACAGAAAAAGTGCTGTTGCTGGACGATCGATGAATTTACTCACTCTACAAAAAGAAGTCAAAAAATATCCTACCCTGAATCTTATTACTAAGTGACTCAGAATTAACTGACATTTCCTATTGTTTAGTTCCTGCGCGTCTGGTGGTAACTGGGCTTGTGCTTATGAATTCTCATACTGTCCATACTTCTGTAAGTATATTGTGTATATAACTAGTGTTGCGTTGCAATCACTGATCTCTAATAAGCCAGTAAATTAAATGCTATCTTGAAATGTATATTGAACCGTCAAGTACAAAAACTGCAGCATATAATGAAAAGGATTAGAATCACAATTCTCTTTCTTTCTACTAGATTGTGGCAACCAAATCTACAATCCTTCTACTCAAATCTGTTGCTGTGGTAAAGTGCACTCTAAGAAATCCAGTTATTCATGCTGTGGTTACTTCTACTACGATACCAGAGTATCACAATGTTGTAATTACTACTCTGTCAAGCCAAGGAAGGCCAAATGCCCACGCCACCGCGTTTAAGTTGTGAGCAGTTTGACCACTCAAGGACACATAAAGAAATTTGTGTTTGATAGAGTATTTCATTACATTATATAAAGAGCTAGTTGATTATGTTAGTTATATATCTGCATGTTTACAGTATGACGTACAAAGCTCAGATGTAAATTTCTGTTCATAGTATATTACCATTTTTTCTTAATAAACTAAGAATGAATATCTCATATCTGTGGTATTTTGTGGTTTACTGGATTTACTATTATACGTGCACGCATGGATCTATTTGTAATTTGTCACACTAATTGATACAGTGGATAGCCGTCTATCAGTTTTGAACTGTTGTCCCTACTGCAGGGGCAGTTGGGGTCATCCCTTATTGCTTTGAGCCATTGCAAGATCTGGGATGAAACTTGACTAAACTAACATTTGTCCACTGGATACGAACTGTGTCAGACTAATCAGTCCTAAAAAGTCAAGAATAAAGAACTATCTCTTACTTGATCAAGTATTACTACAGGAGGAAACCTATATTTTTATCAAGACATAACTGCGCATATAGGCTCTGCCAGTTTTCAAAATATTTCTCTAGAGGTCTATAGCAAAGTAATTTCTAGCTTGTTGGTCCAGTGTTGCTACAAAAATCAAACCACTACAGCAACCAACGCCATGGTCTATCAAGTTTATGTTAATTTATGCACGGTCACTGTAATTGAGCTCATTGTATTTTCGTATAATGAAGTAACCATCCAATAGGGATAGCTGAGATGAAACGTGCAACCACGATGAATAATATTTAAT